GTGTGTGTGTAAAGAAACTGCTGAGGAGAGGAGCTCTGTGTATATATCGTCACCTGGTGTTTCACTGTAAATAAACGCACTGTCTTCTTTGCCAAGGATTTCTGGTCTGCGCCTGAGTCCACTTCAAACTCTGTGACAAAACGATCCAGCCATCATGGAGGTCAGGTCAGGATCCCGTGGCTCAGGCGCTGGCTGCCTAGGAAGCTGCATTAGCTCGCCACAAACAAATGCTTATGCAACAGAGGAATGAGATTGCTCTGTTAACACAGGCTGTCGCCCACATAACACCTCTGGAAAGCAACGCACAGCCAGGGAATGCAGCTCCTCAGGCGTCCCCGGCGGCTAGCCCACCTCGGTAGCCACACCATCTCCGGAGGGACCCCTGCCCACTCCAGAGCCATTCTCGGGTGAGTCAGACAAATGTGTCAGTTTTCTAGCTCAGTGGTCGTTGATCTTTCGAGAGCAGCGACGTTGTCATAATAATGACGGAGTGAAAATGACATTTTTGTACAACTGCGGAGGGATCGTGCACTGAAATGGGCCCAGGTTGTGTTGAACTCTGACCCTGGGATTTCCTATACAGACTTTCTGTCTAAATTTAAGAATGTGTTTACCAAAGGTTCCGGTGCAAAAACGGCTGCAAGGTAAGCGGAGCATGTCTGATTATGCAATTGACTTTTGGATTTTGGCTGAAGGAACGGGCTGGGGTCAGGAAGCGCTGAGAAGCGTGCTTCTGAATAACATTCGTGAGGATTTAAAGGATGAACTAATTATGCATGACCTGCCAACTTCATTCAATGAACTAATGTCTTTTCGCATCAAGGTGGATGAGCGGCTGCTGGCCCGCCGGTCGCAACGAAACTAATAGAAACTCCCATGAGGTACTGGGGCAATTAGGAGCGGGAGTCGCGCCTGAATCCAGCTTCTCCCGGGCACGGGGCATGCAGCTATGCGGCTCTCATCTCTCTGCTGCGGAACGGTAACGGCAAATCTCCGCTGGTGAGTGCCTACACTGCAGTTGCAAAGGACATGTTGTTGCCACCTGCCCATCACAAGCAAAAGGGCGGGCCTGCCAGTAACTGTAGGAGTACTGGTGGGCGGGTTCGGTCAAGAAAAATCTCCTCCACGATTAATGTTCTCAGCTAAAGTCTCCATCTGAAGTAATGGTCTGAAGATCCCGATGAAGCGGGCGTTAAAGCTGAAGGATGTATGGGTGATGAAGATGATCAGGAATCTGTCTCAGCATGATGGACCCGCCAATATCTCTGCAATATCTTTTTGCTGGTCTGAGAGACACAGTACTGTGACACTGTTGAAGCACACATTCATAGAAGCACTTTATTTCTACGGAAGTGCTTTCTATCTAACATTAATACTCAAATCTGAATGTTTGTAATTTATCATGACAGAGGCATGCACAAAAATATGATTCCTGCTATGGATCTCTGAGAAATGACATGGGTTTTTTTGAAACTGTGCTGAGCAGTTTCGGACAAAACAATAAATATAATACAATAATAAAACCAACAAATTACATAAAAATAAAAAGGGTTCTGTGGATCTGTCGATCATTTCAGTGTCAAAAAGATCTTATACTGCTAAGATCAGAAGACTAAAGGTTTGAATTAATTGAATCTTCCAAGTAAGAACTGTTATAATGTGATGTATATTACAGAATTCTGTATTTTCGTTGTATTTATTAAATTGAATCAGAGCCCAAATTACAAAAGAAATGTTTTATTGTTCTACAACAAAAATGTAATAATTAATCTAAATTCAAATTCCAGAACCAATTCACTGAACTTCAATCTATGCACTAGCATTTCTGCACTCTGTGGAGCATTCCTACAACAGATGCTCTGAGTGCTCAGAGTAGAAAAGCACTATGTAAGAACATTTACCATTTATGATTTCTATTCAAAAGTGATTTTCTCTGTTGATCCTCTCTTTAAGTCAGAGCTTCTCTCAAATTTCACATCAGTGATTAACTAACTGATGAATTTCTTGTGACTGACACGTGTGGTCAGCTCCCAGTCAGTGTGTGATCACTACCAGACCTCAGATCAACATAATTAGCTGTAGATTAGAGACAGGCAGTGCAACAGGGCAAAGGAAGTGTTTCATTGAAATTATCAGTGAGACCTATTAAGTTGTGAACCACATGAAAGGTAGCCATTGGGGCTCTGGAGTGTGTCAGCAGCTGGACAGCAGAGGTGAGAGAGAAAGCAGAACTGTGGACACAAACACACACATCATTATTGCTTGGCAATGTGGGATCCTTTTGGCAGCACACGCCATAACTGCGCAGTCCTGAAATGCTTGCCTTTGATCATTGCAGCTCTGCTCATGTACAAATACACATTAACATAGTGATGGTTTCATGTGAAACTTTATAGATGCTCCAAGTGGGACACAGGCCCAATTCACAATGATATTCTTAGCCTGGGTGTATTTCCTTAGGAATATGTTCAAAGGCTCCCAAAACCTGTTATGTGCTTCCTTAGCCCTGCTGTCAGCTTATTTATATGAAATTAGTCATGTAAGAAATGCTGAAGGACCTTTAAGTGCTCAATCAAATTCTGTGTCATGATGTTGTGTCACCCTCTTGGTGACAAAACATGTCAGGACTAGTGCAAGGTGGAGGGTGAAGGAGGGGAGGGGAGGTCTGAGTAACACTGTAATAGTCCAGGGATTTGGGTGGTTGCATAATCTTCTTTCTTACCCCTCCTATCTCATCTTTTTCTGTCCTCAGAAGCATGATGAGGATTGGGCGGGGGGGGAGATCCAGATGGAAAAATTCTGCTTGCACAACAGTAAGTGGTTAGAAATGATGGAGAACCACTAACTGTAACGGTCCTGTGTCGGTGACCCAGTGTGTTCCGTTTTATATTATTAATTTTTGATTTCTTGATGTCTTATTAGTTCTTAGGTTTTGGTTCTGTATCAGTATTGAGTTCCGTGTGTGTGTTTTCTTAGATTTTGCCCAGTTTAGGTTTTGTATGGTTTTTCTGTTCAGCAATAAAGCTGCTTTTTGACTTTCACTCCCGCCTCAGTTGAGTCTGCATTTGGGTTCTTTTCCTGCCTGCACACAGCTGTAACATGACACTAACTATTGGACCTATATTTTTTTCTTTTTTTGACATTCAACAGTAAGTCACTACAAAATAAAATGACTGTTTGTGATCAAAACAGCAGACCATCGTGTGCTAACTACCTGTCTAGTGATGTCCTGTGTCACTCATCCTCTGTATTGGGTCAGTGTCCAATCCCTTAGGTTTTCAGCCTTTTGTTGAATATAATGATTTTAAAATTATACGAAGTGTTTTGCATTTATGAGAAAGGTTTTCCAGAATTGTAAAATGTTTTAATCTTAGCGGGGGGTTAGTAAAGTTTTTTTAAATAGGGTAGGGCCTCTGGTTCGGTGTTTTAAGGTCCTTACCAAACCTGATGAAGGTTAGGGCCTGGGGGCTCCTGTTTGGGTGGTTCGGGGTGTTGAATGGTTGTGGTTAGGGGCAATCCTCAGGGTTGGGGATAGGATTGGGGGGGTATTTCTGTGGGTGGTAAGGTGTGATGGATGGTTGTGGTTAGGGCCAATTTCCCGGGTTGGGAAATTGGCCGTGATTTGGATTTTAGATTGGATGTGTGTGCCAAATCAAATTCCAAAGGGGGTTTTAAGTCTCCTATAGGATTCACAATGCGAGTAATATCCAATTTAGATCTATTTTATCATCGCCAATTATTTGTAATTTCTATGAGCGAGACTCCATATGGTGTCTTAGCCCCATCTAATATTCAGACCTCCAGGACCAAGGTGTTAAGTAATCAGATCCACTTCTTTTCACATCTCCTTCTTTCACTATCCGTTCAGAAGAAGTTTCCTTCAATACCCGCAATTTTAAGTCACTGTAAACCGTGATAGGCAGCACGGTGGTTAGCACTGTTGCTGCACAGCAAGAAGGTCCTGAGTTCAATTCCACCATCAGGCCAGGGTCTTTCTGTGTGGAGTTTGCATGTTCTCCCTGTGTTTGCGTGGGTTTACTCCGGCTTCCTCCCACAGTCCAAAGACATGCAGCTTGTGGGGGATAGGTTAATTGGATAATCCATGAATGAATAAAATGTCTGACAAGAGGAGTATGGCCTTCTTTGTTATGTGTAATGTTATATTTATGTTGCCACATGTGAGTGGAAATTGAGCTCTTGGTTTCCCCAATGTACTGGATGTGGCATCTTGTACAGACAATCATGTAAACGCAATTGGAGGTCCTAGGACTAAAATTTTGTGAGAGTTTGTACAACCTGTTTCTTGTCCTGTTCTTAACATATGCTAATTTGACATGGTATAGATGAATTTCTGGTTTTCTTTGGTTGTGCCAGTCTAAGTCTCGCCCTCATTAAGTAATCCCTGAGGTTTTTGTTACGTCTATATGCTAAAATCACCTTGTGGTTTCCAATTATCCCGTGTTGCCCAATTAGGGTTGGGGTTAGGTTTAGTCACAAGTCACTGTCAAATTATAATATGGGCAGGACGATTTGTCAAAGTAGGACAGTTTCTCAGAACACCGATGAGAACAGCAAACTCCCGGCACATCGTTTTCAAACCCCCGCGGTCTTTTGCTTCTCAGGGAAAACATGATATATAAGTCACTTAGATAAATGTTATTCTTTGGCTTTTTTCAGTGTTTTATTTGTTCGTGAGTAAATTGGTTTGGCTGAGATTAAAGTGATTAGTTTAGATTAAATAAAACTATTAATCCCTCGGGTGGGTTCCTCCGGGGTTTTCACACAGCTGAATAAGCGTTAAGCAGAAAACTGATTAAATAGAAGTGTGAGATGGTTGAGAATTTATGCCAACGTCCGGTTATATTTTAGATAGCAAGGAGCAGACGGCAGAGTTTAACTACATCGAGAGAGCTCTTGATGTAAATCTGAGGGCTGGACCGTCCAGTTTCACAGTCGCTCACTTCCAGCCTACCCGGCTTTCGGAGGGCCCGGCTCACTTAGGGGGTGTCCAAATTCATGGGCTGCAGTTGCAGGAGTTTGGAAGAGAACTGAACAAATATTTAAAATATAATCTGATCATTTTTGAAGCAGCCTTCAGAATCTCCACGTATTAACATGCTGTTTTTCTTCCCGGTGAAAATGTTTCCTCCTGAATTAAAATATTTTTAAGGTTAGGTTTAATTCAGAGTCAGCTAATCTCAGCCAAATCGATTTACTCAGGAACAAATAAAACACTGAAATAAACCAAACATTAACATGTAGAAGTTATCTAAGAGACTTGTGTATCATGTTTAACTAGAGTAGCGAAAGACCGCGGGGGATTTGAAAACGATGTGCGGGAGGCCGCTGTTCACTAGAGTCCGGGCTCTAGTGATCCTTGACCTCCCGGTCTGTTATCGAGTTGGCGGGTAACAGATGTCTCCGAAAGCATCGGAGCACTTTTGGAAATATGTGATATCTTGATAAATCAAGCAGATATTTGAAGTTCACAGAACTACAGTCTTGCATGAAAATATCTTAAAAGTTTATTTTGCAAAATGGCCTGTATTTGTATAGCACTTTACTTAGTCCCTAAGGACCCCAAAGCGCTTTACACTACATCCAGTCATCCACCCATTCACACACTGGTGATGGCAAGCTACATTGTAGCCACAGCTGCCCTGGGGCGCACTGACAGAGGCGAGGCTGCCTGACACCAGGCCCTCTGACCACCACTAGTAGGAAATGGGCGAAGTGTCTTGCCCAAGTCACAATGACTGTTGGAGCCGGGGCTCGAACCGGCAACCTTCAAGACGATTACAAGACAAACTGCCAACTCTTGAGCCACGATGCCCCATTTGTGACCCAGAGAGAGTAATATTTAAAAGTTTTTAGCTGCGCTCCTCTGGGTTTGAGATTTGGACGAAATGAATTCTGTGATATCAGAATCAGAATCTAGCTGTACCAAGTACACACAAGTCACCACCGATGCATGCTCGATAAAACGGGCAGAGCGAGAACACATCCGGAATTTTTTGCGTTCTTGGCTTGATGTGTACTTTGAGTTGGAACAGTACTTGGTTTCTGACTGATGACATATCGCGAGTACACGAGAATGCAAGTATGCACAAGTACGCATATCCGGTCTTTAAGTCTGCCGTCATTACCCATGTCTGGGTCCAAAACTCCTCTACAGGTCTCTAAGTCACACAATCACTGCAACGTTACTGAGAGTTGAAAAAATGTCTAAATCCTTTCGTCTGTAATAAAATGATCATTGTGGCTGCTCTACCAAGTTTAACATCCAGGCATCCATGAAAACAGAATTTATGAAATTCAGTGGAGTTAGAAGTTAGCAGGGAGTTAGCTCGCTAGCTTCCACCTAAATAAACACTGTAAATGCTGTAAACGGACCAAACTTCAGTCAGGAGAACAACCGAGATAATCCATCCACAATACAAGGTTAGTCATTAATATACTGCTGCATAGGCTGGGCTATCGTTACATCGTAAGACTTTAAAAACCGAGCTTTAAAATGATTAGCGGTAATAAAAACTGAGAGAAGCTGACAGTGATCACTGACTGTTTTTAGGGGCTTGTTGAAATTAAATAGAACAAGATACAAAGCATTAAAACATGTTAAAAACACAACAGCCTTATTAAATGCAGAGTACTTTGGGCCCAGAAGGATCTTCACTTAAAGACCGGATTGAGACAGGCCATGCGTCCTCCTTTTCCCCGAATTTGAAGGATGGCTCGAGTGTATCCTTCGCGGCCCACCATATCTCAGAATTCATAGCGAGGCCCAGCCAATTTCAGTTTCCAACAATGGCGACCGCTATTAAATTTTAATGTTACTCTTATTACTCTTTCTGGGTCACAAAATAAACTTTTAAGATATTTTCAGGTATAATGTAGCTGTGCAAACTTCAAATATCTGTTTATCAAGATATCACTTATTTGCAAAAGTGCTCCAACGTTTTCGGAGACGTCTGTTACCCACCAGCTCAATAGCTAGCTGGGAGGTCGAGGGTTACTAGAGCCGGTGAGAACTGTCGTGCCAAAGTGGGTATCCCAGACAGAATTTGTTTTCCCTGCGTTGGGAGCACGCAGGAAGTACTGATGTTTTAGTTTAGTGAAAAAGTGAAAAATTAGTACCATTACCATTCAGTTTGAGGGTTACAACAGAAAATTATACATTTATTGTTGTCATGTGGTATCGGATGGGATTATTTTAACAAACCAAGAACATTTTGGCTGATAATTATTTTTATCCTCCTGTAACTTTACTATATAAAGTGCTAAATCCTCCAAAGTTTCAGGAGTCATACGTCATAATAAGAAGTGTTTCTGACCTACAAATCAAGAATGTGGGATACTGTTTGTCTGTGATTTACACAGGGGGAACAAATTGTGACAGGACCATCCTGATATTATTACCCACTATAACTCCCAGTATAAACAGCTAACATCTCAACAATTTCAGGAGTAGTTAGTCAATATAAGAAGTGTTTGTATGTATATGTACAGTGAGGCAAAAAAGTATTTAGTCAGCCACCGATTGTGCAAGTTCCCCCACCTAAAATGATGACAGAGGTCAGTAATTTGCACCAGAGGTACACTTCAAC